TCTTCGCCAGCTTAGTCCTTTGCTATAGGCAAGAGAATATGGTAATCACGAGATGCGGGACCCGGACTATAACGTGAATTGAATAACCTCTTTATCGAGCTTTCTGAGCTTCTAGCGAATCACTAACGATGTATGTGGTCCGCCATTGTTCTGATGAAACATAATTCCACTTATAAGCTAGTGAACGAAATGCCTTTTTGTTTGTATGAATTGAATATTTTTGTTATACAACAAAGACACCGGTGAAGAAGCAGCAGCCATAGCTAAGATTACCACAACTCCTCATCAGACTTCTTCTGGCAGGGATCGAAGATACGGATCCTGACTTAGCAGCCCTGCAAACTGTTGTTGTCTTATTCAATTCATTATCAATCAACAACAATTGAGTGCGCTAATTTATTGGCTATTCTCTGAATAGCTTCGTTTGTGAGTTGTTAAGTAATGCTGTATACTTTCAGGAGTATAAGCAGGTTTAAGTGTCGGTCGCAAATTATATAGTCATAAATGTTTTTGCGGCCTGTACTACCAATTTTCATTAGATACATTTCCCCTCTCGGTGGCCAAAAAGGGGCATTTCTGGGCGAATGCTTCCTTCAAACGTTTGAATTGCTGAAAATAAAGATCCGAATAAAGAGCTTAGCCGGAGAGGAACTGCGCATAGTGGTTGGTTCCTTGCCAAGCGCACCGATCACACAACAAAACCTTACTGGCCGTCAGTTCTGGCGTACCGTTTGTTCAATTTGTTCAATCGACTTAATCGCCCGGCAGAGTCGGTAATTCGGGCAGCTTTGGATCGATTCATACCGTGTTCACTTTAGGTGGTAATGCGCATAGTCATGACTCTCAAAACGAGATGGCCACCAAACCCGATTTTCATAAGAAAATTTGGCTCAGCAAAGCAGCTCGCTTTTGGTTGAATGGATACAATCATAAACAAAATTATCGCATTTGGAAGGTCGATAATCTATCAGCTCTTGTTTGGTGTGTTGAGCAGGGAAAATTGTTGTTCCTATAGGGTCGTAGTGTTACAATCAATGGAGAATGCTGTAGGGCTATGATTAATGAATTTCGCGCGATTGATTTTGGACTATGTTGACGTGAAGGACCATAAATTCCAACACTACCCGACGACACTGCATGACATACCGCCAACAAAATAATCAATTTATCGAAGACTTTGGGTGAGCGCATTATCCCACGTTCAGAGCCACGTCGCTTGTCTACTCAGCCTAGCCCGAGACGGATGATACTTTGAAATAGAATATTCAGCGCGTTATTGCTGACATACGGTCTCGATGGCTGCTAAAAGTGATCGAGAATTGTGCTTATCGAGCCATTCGCCGCGGTCGATTGCCCGAAATCATTTTCAAAACATAATGCCGAACCTTTGTCCTTGTTATGAAGCCCCCTGACTAAAAAAACATCCTTTTGAGCTTTAGCAACTAGCTGACATTCCCGATGTATCAGTTAATCAGCACCTTGTGCTGTCGATGAAATTGAAGTTTGGAATATACGACAGCTATTAGAAAATTATGTACGCGTTCCAGGCAGTCAGTTGCTGAGTATGTGCAGAACTTCGGTGTGAGGCTTATAAAATTCAATTATCTGACTATTCATCACTATGGAGAGCATTTCGCTCGCATCCAAACGGACCCAAGAAGGGTAATTTCATGAGTTCGATTATGTGTGGCTGGATTGTCAACCGTGTAGGTCCACCGAAATTAAGTGAGGGACATATAGAAAGACTTTTCAGCAAAGATTTCTGATATTCTTGCTTAACACCCTGCTTCATTCAGCACCATAGAACAGATATGCTTGAGAGGATGACTAACCAACTTAACGGCAGACCCTAAATGACCTACAAAGAGAGCCGTCATTAACTCTCTTGCTCTAAATGGTCTACTCGGAAATTAACCAACAGCCATAGAACTTATAGCCGGCGATGAGCTGAAACTGCTTTCCTAGAACCAAGTAATACTGGCGCATACTGTGGTAGACTCAACTCTTACCTATCCAGACTAGACCACGGCATATTTAACTTATGTATGTGTGTCCTCCATGAAATTAATCCTCGTACCATTCATCTAATACCGCCCTTTCTCTGAACCGAGCCCAGCTAAGATACGCATTTCGTTAGATGACATAACTGACCCTTCCAGCGATAGCATACATTTGTGAATAAGACAGGCACTTTTATGGCTGCCAATTGATGATTGAAAATAAAACTAAAGATTTTAGACAGCCGAAATAAGAAATTTTCCTAGTCGTTTCTGCTTTCAAACCAAAGACCTGCATTCATTTTCAGGACATAAAAGCATTTTTTTCTTTGCATTGAAATATTTACTGGAAAATCGTAGAACGTTGCCACTTTAAAGCATATTTTTGTCAAACCCCTTTGCTTCTTTTTGTTCCTCCCTTGATTCTTGCAACTACAAGTATACCTCTGAGCGAGCTCAAGCAGTTAATTTTTCTAGAAATCGCTTCTTGGCCATTTACTATCATCATTTAGGCCTCCTTCTTCGCGTTTACGTTCACAGAATCGCCGTTTTATGCACTCATTTAATACAGTTAATCTCTTCAACATTAATTAATATGAGCATTTTTCAACTACCACAAGCGCACTGCGGCGGTTACCCAGCAGTGAAGCAGTGAAGGGTTAAAATGGTCCGCTAAAAACCATTTTTGTATCTCCTAATTGAATTTGTTCTAATTAATTTGAGTTATTCATTTCGAACTAGTATGGGACTAGTTAAACAGTGATATATTTGAAATATTTTAATTGCCTTAAACTTTGTTGAGCTAAATTCACTTATTTTCAGCCAAAACTGAACTGTAAATTTTTTCAGTTCATATTGAACTAGTTTGCAACTAGTATATTTCATATAAAATAATTTTCAAATATTTCAAAAAATTTTGTCAACTCCGTGAAGTAGTTATAAACTAGTACATTTGACTGTAGGGTAGCTATAGCGGTCATCTTCGACAGCCTCGACGGCTACTACTTATGTTGCTTGTTTACTTTGTTTTCACCTATCCACGCGCTGTCACATTGCTTTCAGTAATGCTTGATATTGAATATTGCAATTGATGTCGTTGTTGTTGTTGTTGTTATTGTTGTTGGTGTTTCTGCAACAAAATTATTGCCAGTATTTGCGTACATTATTTTTAGCATTAATTATGTGCGGCTCGCGTTGCTTACATGATTGCTAAAAATCTCAAGCACAGCATGCCACATGCCTCTTGCCACCAATCGAACTACTCAGTTATTGGTTGTTTTTGCTGTTGCTGGTTGCTGGTTGAAAAAACTAGTAAGCCTTGAGCGTACTGCATTCAATGTTGCACCAATGAATTCCGGTTTCCATGCAATTTGCGAGCATTTTTTTTTACCGCTGAGTTTTGTGCATTGGAACTTCTTTAAGTGCGGGTTGCGTGGTGGTAAATTTGTGGTGTTGAATTTTTGGTTAAGGTGGGTCTGCTTTATTTAATAACTTTACTTTACCTTATTTTATTTTATTTGGATCTACTTTATTTTACTTGTATTCATTTTAACGTATTATATTTTAGTTTATGAAAACTTAAATTGTATTATTTTACTTAATTTTATTTTGTTTCGTTTCATTTTTTTACTTTTTTTATTTCTATTTAATTTAATTTAATTTTTTTGCTTAACTTGATTTAAATATATTTCATTTTTTTTCATTTTATTTTTTTACAATTTATATTATTTTATTTTATTTTACTTCATTTTAAGTTGCTTCAATTTTTGTTAATGCATTTGATTTTATTTTTTCAATGTGTTTTATTTTATTTTATTTTATTTTATTTTATTTTATTTTATTTTATTTTATTTTATTTTATTTTATTTTATTTTATTTTATTTTATTTTATTTTATATTATTTTATTTTATTTTATTTTATTTTTTTATTTTATTTTATTTTATTTTATTTTGTTTTATTTTATCATATTTTATTTCATGGTAGTTGATTTATTGTGTTTTTAATTTTTTTATTTTAATTTATACCATTTCCAGCATACATCCATGAATCAAAAAAAAAAAATGTTGATATTTATATTTTTTATAAATCTTTATTCTCGTATCTTTAATAAACTCTTTTGAGTTTTGATACACAAATTTTAAGCAATCAACACACTCATAATTAAAGTATTTAGAACTTTTTAGTATACATTTTACACTCAAACACGCTGAAAAAAAGTGTTCGCTGTTGAAATATTTATTAATCGATTTTCTGAGAAAAGTTCATAAATTAATTGCTTACTGCAAACTTTGGAAAATTTTCCAATCAAACCATTTCATTGGCATACAATTTATATGGAAAAAAGTCGATAAAAATTTAGCGCCAAAGAATGGATAAATATTTTGCATATATGTACATATGTGTATATAAACGCCAATATTTATATACACATACATATGTTCACTTTAGCCACGTAATTATGTATGTATTATATATTTTTAGTGGGATAGACCAATAGAGGTCAAGCTAAATTTATTGATATCGTTATACGAGCGGGTATTCAGTTCCTTATTCAGCTTGGGTCATCGACAACACTAACACTGTATCTCGGATATAGTTTTTTAGAAATTTTCCATACATACATATCTACATAGCTTTGTACCTATAGTATGTGAAAAGAGACTGTGAGCTCTCCTGTGTTTAATAATCGCTTAAGAGTTCTTTTTAGTTTTTTTTTTTTCATTTATTCACTTTTTATGAATTAATTGAGCTAAAACAACAAATGCACTTTCCTTTCAAACTCACTTCCTTACATTAAAGAAGAAAAGAGCATGAACAAGACATTTACTTGTTATCCAACAAGATGAACAAACAAAAATAATAAATAATTCTGCGCTTAAATAACAAAACTACAAATAAGAAAAGGAGAAAGTTAAAAAAATAAACTACTTCAATCGATCTAATGCTAAATAAACTTTGTCTCAAATGCATGAAAACATTGCTCCCACACTAGGCAAACATACCTTCGAACATAAATACGAGTGCAGTGAAAATTTCCTGTCAGCAGGTGGTCCTCGAGCGCCATGCGAATCGTTGCTCTTTCTACATATGTACATATATAATACTCGTACAAGTACTTTCCACTTTTCTCTCATCTCTTACCTGTTGTCTTCCTTGGCCGCGTACATTCCTCGGTGTCTTATGCACTCGTGAATATTTGTGGAAAACCAAATTACAAGTCAATCATTTGTGCGTTCTATAATTGCATATATGCTTACGTACATACATACATATATATTTCCAAATAAAATTGAAAAACATTTCTATTGCCATGCTGATGGGTCGTGCCGCCGATTAGGCCTAAAAATATTTGCCACGAATAAGAAAAAAAAATTGAAAATTTATAAAATTTTAGCAAAAAAAAATCGATAAAAAGTTGAAACGATCGATATAATTGATAGCTGATTTATGGAGATGTCGATATGTGTACAGATTTACAAGTACATTTGTATGTTAGTTTATGTTATGCAAGTTTAAAATAGTAAAAGTTGGAAAAAAAATTTAAATTTTTTTTTACTTGAGCAGCAGAAAGTACGCACCGAGCTCTAAGCAGACACATAGGAAATTTCAGAAAAAGAACTGTTTGAAGAAAGTCGCATGGGATGGCAACGCTTTTTGCGAAGTTCAAAAGTGACTTGATATCCAGTTTAGAAACTTCCGCTGTCTAAGACAAATTCCAGATAGGGTCGGGCGCATGCCTGCCTGACTTCTTTTGCTGTATGGCTCATTCTGCTCGCGTTTGATGCCAGTAGGTTGTGGCCTGTCATTAGACCTACAACTGTCCTGCAGATATTTTAAGACCGAGAGCCAAAAAGTCCATGTGCTTTACTTGACTGGCATGTCTTCCACACAATCTTCCACATCGTTGAGGTATTTCGTGGCCTCTTGACCTGTTCTATAGCGCGTTCAGACCTTTTCACGCAAAATTAGATAAGGGATACCCTCCCCAACTACGTCAGCCAAACTATATCTCCTGATTAACAACGAATATCGTGCAGCTTTCAGAATCTTAAAATTGAGTATACTGTACTCTATCTCCATGCCTGCAGTCATTACCACACGGCCGAAGCACCTACTTGAAGCTAAACACTCTCTCAAGCTGCATCGAAAATTTTCAGCGGATGGTATAACTGTTGTCTCCGACACATCCACAGGTTTGTATCTATCAAAAATTCTACGTCTTGAGGTCTACGCCGTCTTTTGAAGGTTGCGGGTTTAGGTCTAATTTGTCCTCTATTAGTTGAGGTTTAACACTCCAACCTCGCAGCGGATAGCCCTGTAATGCTTTCCACTGCAATGTCGGGTGTAGTAACCAGTCAAGCGCTGCCACTGGAGTACTTTTTAGAGCTCGCGTTAAGTAGTTTGCGGCGAGCCGTTGTAGTCGGCCAACCAAACCAAGGTACCGAAGAGTAATATGAGCTAACTGTCGCTAAATGAGGTCAGGCGAGAGGCACTACGTAGCACTCTACAGCTTCTCACATGCGTTGAGTAGTGTTTTTTAATATGTGAGCTCATGGCGGGATTACCCGCTGCAAGCCTCGACCAATTTGGAGTTGGAATAGGAAAATATCGCTTTGTAACCGCTGAAGCAATTTTCGGCCGAGCTACTCCTCTTACTTGCAGTTTTGCGTCTTGATGTTTTTCCAACAAATAGAGTTTTTCCAACAAATATACCAAGCCGTCTGCGTGCAGCTGATGGTTTTTTTACGAGAAGCCTTTATTTAATGTCCGAAATACACTCGGAGGCGTTGGCATTCTCTGCCGCGGGGCGACCGCAATTAGATAATTTTAAATTAATTTTTTATTCAATTTGGTGTTCCATAACATTCGATTGTTGGTCGCACGGGAATTTTAATTCAAACCTTCCGAATGGCAGTAAGCAATGCTAACCACTCTGCTACCGCGGCCGCGACTCGTAATGTAATCGGTATAAAAAGAGCGGGACTTCGTCAAGCTACTAGCTGCTCTGATAACCGCTTGGCAGGTAAAACGACATGCAGAAAGACTGGAAGCTCTTTATTTGGTCACGTTGCAGGAGCGGTGAATATTCTGAAGAGAACGGTACGATTGCTCACCAACGACTGCCCTACACTATGCAAAGTTTTCGGGTGCCGTCAAAGAAAACTGAGTTGCAGGCAATTGTTCCAATGAACTTCATCAAAGAATCCGAGAAATGGCCTACCGAGATCTAATGCTCAGCTAACTCTCGACATCACTACGAGTCTGGGCTGAGTGAAGTCGATGTCCTCTCAGAGGGTAGCCGCTAGAACACTTCTTACTGAGCCCATCAATGGCTAAATATATTTCTCACCTTCCCACCCACGCATTTCATCCATTGCGGATATTGATCAAAACTCGATGCAATTTTCATGATTGATTGATGGCAATGTTTTGTTTCCTAATTAATCTTCCGATTGGCGGCGCAGCCAAGAAAAAAACAAAAAGAAAAACGTGCGTAGGAGACGCACAAATATACGTAAATCCGCCGGCACACCTGCTGCAGAGGAGTGTCTTACTTAAACTATGTACATAGTATATACATACTTAGATCGTATTAGTGGTAGGTAGGTATGTAGGTATGTGTGTTTGTACATGTATTTGTGTTATCCACTGGCGCAAGTCAGTTGTTTGAATTGGCATTTGGACGTAAATTAATTCGTTGTTTTATGAAGGCATTGATCGTTCGGACGCCTGTATGTATTGTACATGTGTGTGTGTGTGTGTGTGTGTGTGTGTGTGTGTGTGTGTGTGCATGTTTTAGTGTTTGTATTTGTCGACAGCCAATTCACGCTTCCTTATTTTTAATATTTCAAGCAAATAACTCTTTGCCTGCAAGAGACTTTAGCTACTGTTGAGTACACACACACACACACACATAAATACATACATACGAATGTACATATGTACATACTTATATGCGTGTGCTTATTATTATTTTTGTAATTTTATTCTATTTTTTTTTTTTGTTTTTAGTTGTTACACTTGCTTGCCGCCTGTCTGCCGTCCGCCGTCTACCGTCTACCGTCTGTCGGCTGGTCAATTTTTTTGTTTGGCTTTTATTGTTGTTGTTTTGTTATTCGTCTACACAGAATTCACGGATACATTGAATACTCTAAAAATTGTATTGGAGATTTATTACATTTTAAAAGGCCGACTGTCCATAAATATTTGGGAAACTGTTAATTTACTCTAATTTTGTTGCTGGCGTTGTTGTTGTTGTTGTTTTGAAATTATTGCATTCTTAGGCATTTGTTTACTTACGAAATTCATGAATGAAGTGTAGCAACAGTGATCCGATTAGAAAATACAAAAAAATCAAAAAAAGAAAAAAAAACAAAAACAATTTCTTCAATGAATAAATGAACTCGAGGAATGATTGAAAAGACGAACCTGGTGGGTGGTTGGTTGTGCTGGAGTCAAGATTTGTTTCGGTATTTTTTTTTTTTGTGAGTGAAGAAAGTGTAAGTCACTCAATTTGTTAAAGATTAATTGACGGCATGAGCGATTTTATAGATGAAATTTACAGGTGAAAATATTCATTTTTTTATTTCTTCTAATCTGGAAGATTTAATTTCTCTATGAAATTCTTTTTTATTATAATTTTTGCAAACTTCGATCTAATTAAGATGACTTCCGACCACCTTCTGGTACACAATAGACTTGAAAAATGTTGGTTTTCCAGTGCTCAAGAGTTTACGATTCATCCGTGGTCCCACAAAAAAAGAGTAAAACGTTGTCAAATCGCACGATCTCGGCAGCCAATTGACATCGCCAATACGAGAGATTACGACCGTGAAGAAATTTCGCTCACAACAACGCCATATTCACTCGTCAATTATTGTCAAAGTCGTGTTCTTCAATGGCAGACTAAAAAAGTCGGTTCTCATATGAACACAACATTCCGAATTGACTGCGACTGTCCAGTCCTTATCGTGTTCAACGAAGTAAGATCCAATCACAGCCCCGAATCAAAGAGCACACCAGACAGTGTGTCTGTTTTTTTCGCGTGTAATGACTCTCGCGACGGGGCCGATGGATTACCGGATGAGCTATTTAAGCCTGGCAGTGAAGAGTTGACAGTTGCGCCAACTGCTTTGCAACATATGGTGGTATGAATGCATACCAATACCTGTGAAAAGTGGATCGGCAAACATCACCTCTTCGTCGATTTTGAAGCAGTCCTCGACAGCACAAAAAGGAGCTGCCTCTACACTGCTATGTGTGAATTTGGTATCGAAGCAAAACTGGTGTTAAGCAACAGCAAAAGCCGCGTCAGCATCGGAAAGAACCTCTTCGACCCGTTCGATACCAAAGAAGTTTCAGGCAAGGCGACTCCTTATCGTGTGCCTTCCTTATTTTTTGTTGGAAAAATAAACTGCAGAGCTGAATAGAGAAGGTAGAATCTTTTATAAGAGTGTATAGCTGCTGGGGTACGCCGATGATATTGACATTATTGGCCTCAACCACCGCGTCGTGAGTTCTACTTTACTCAGACTCGAGAAGCTAGCGAAGTGTATGGGTCTGTTAGTAAATGAAGCAAGACGAAATATCTTCTGTCATCAAACAGACAGTCGTTGCATTCGTGACTCGACTCCCACGTCCCTGTTGATTTTCATAAAATTGAAGTTGTAGATAACTTCGTCTCTCTTGGAACCAGTATTAACACCAACAACAATGTCAGCCTGGAAATTTAGCACAGAATCACACTTGTCGACAGTTGTTACTTCTGACCGAGTAAGCAATTGGAAGTCTCTCTCGGTCCTCTCTCGGCGAATGAAAACCAAACTCTACAACTCAGTCGCACGTCATACCCGTCATAATACTATTGTATATGGCGTAGAAGCGTGGACGTTGAGTTGCCGTTAGATTTTCCTCTTGCAAGTTGTGATCGACGAACACCGCAGACGAAGGAATGATGAACTGTATGAGATATACGACGACATTGATATAGTTTTGCGAATCAAGAAACAGCGGTTGCGCAGACTTTCGATGCAGTACCCGCCGCCGGAAGTGGAGGAAGAGGAAGACCTACACTGTTGGAAAGACCAGATAGAGGAGAACCTGGCTGTACTTGGCATGTCTAATGAGCGCCAGAGAGCGGAAAGAAGTGTTGATTGGCGCATTGTTGTTAGCTTGTTAGCGCGCTGTCATAAAAATGTCTCTATAAAATTTTTTGAGGTTTCCCGCAGCCCTTAGTGCAAAAATTTGGCTTATTTATGAGTCCTCCGACTGAGCAATGTGCGTCGTCGCTGAAGAAATTTGTCTTCCAAAAAAAAAATTGTTGTTCGAGCACTCGATCG